TGAGTTGCAGTATTGAAAGAACAAATAAATAAAAGCATGTTATAGCGTTATTTTTATTTTCCTATATACAGTGAAACCTGTGTTTAAAGATTACTCAGGGAGGCAAGAAAAGAGGCCTTAATGTGCAGGTGCTCTTTATGTGCAGGTTCCTTCAGTACAGATTGCAATGAAAAACGCTGAAATGAAAGTTGCGGTCTTTGTATACAAGTGGTCTTTCTGCACAGGTGCATTTGACTGTATTTATTTAATTCATTTACTGGCGAAGAGATAAAACGTATAGAACGTCAAAAAAAATGACAGACGATTGTCTGACGAAAGTCAGCTGTATGTATTAGTTAGAGGAATATGAGTATTTGCTCGGGTCTCTGATAGTAATTGCATCCTAAATATATATTCATAATGCGCTGAGTGATAATTAGATCACGATACTCTTTTTTGTTTTCAACGAGAACTCATTTCCATTCCAGATCATCCTGACGTTATACTTTTGGACAACGAATTTGTCTTTTCATAGAAATTTGTTTTATTCATTTCACACTGAATGAAATAATCAGACAAGGAATAAATTGCACTTTTTAACATTGAAAAAAATGTCAGTTGTGTATAGCACCCGTTCATGATGTGCGTCATGTTTGCAATAAATTCATTATACCCTCACGTATAATAAATTTTTAGTTTTCTTTCCTTTTCAAAAAAATGTCAATAAACAGAAAGCAAATATTACTATCATAAGGAAACCCTTTCATGTAAAATTCACATATTCCGTGCCTCTCATTAAATAGTACATCCTGAATATAATACATGCATTTGAACAATACAACATTATGTAGTTGTCTTTTCCCCCAGAGAAGTCGCGAAATAAATCCATAAATAATTGGTTTCGAATGCGTTTTCTTTCAGAGTCTTGTTATTGTCCTGTTGAAGTCATTTTTAGATATTTAATCAAAAATATGAACGCAAACGGATCTCAGAGTTATAGACAAAATCATTTCCCCCTGAAATTATCACGCGATCGTGTAGCGTTATGGTTGGAAATTGATTCTGAAGTTTTTAGAAAGTCTTTGTTATCTTGTTAATGCGTTGTTGCCGTTGCTGTTGTTGATGATGATGATGACGACGATTGATGATGATGATATGTGATGACAGCGACGACGATCATCACTACGAACATGTGTGTTTGGTCATGATCTTGGTCAGTTAATTCATGTTTAGTATTATAATGCTTACTCTCTAACATTTCAATTTTGACAGATTATTTAATTTTATATAATTTCAGTCATTCTTCTTGTAAGACATATTATATTGAATAATATATATGTTTTTTCTTTATCATTATTTCTTTGCAACACTCCATTTGATCCCGCATTGTATTACAAATCAATTAAATCCAACTTCGCAATATACAACCCACCCATTTAGGATTAGTGCGACCGTATCTGTGCTATCTTTTTTCAAATTACTAAAAAAAGATTTTAGGAGCTTAATTTTGGTATGCATTTTACAGTTAGCCTTCATCGCGTTATCATGATAATCCATACTTTGTGTAACCATGGCTACCAGAAAATCTCTATGGTCATAGACATAAAGCACTGCAGATAAGTATATAGGCTGTAATTTAAACTGTACAGAATATATACATTGGAACGAAAATTGATATTATGTCATTAGTATCAACATGTTTATTCATATTATTCATATTATCATTATCATCATCATCATCATCATCATAAGTAGTAGTAATTCAATTCATTCAATTCAAAAAACAAAAAAAAAATTAATAGCACAAACATGGTAACAAGTTTTAAAGATATATGCTTGTAAAAACTAGCAATATATAAATAGTTTATAGTATCATTGGGATTAATAATATAGTGTCATTATTATCATTATTATTATCGTTATTATAATTATTATTATTATTATTATTATTATTATTAGTAGTAGTAGTAGTAGTAGTATTAGTATTAGTATTATTATTAGTAGTAGTAGTAGAAGTAGTAGTAGTAGTAGTAGTATTATTATTATTATTATTATTATTATTATTATTATTATTATTATTATTATTATTATTATTATCATCATCAGTATTATTATCATTATTATTATCATTATTACATATTATCAAAATTACTATAAAACTCTATATAAAGCTTGCATGCATGCAAAACTTGAGGAGCAAATTATAATTCTGGTCATGTGCGAGATTGAGTACTAGGAATCCTGTCCATGTCAATGACATGGCAGTTTCTGCATTGCGAGGGAGCAAAAATAATTATTGTTATAAAATGACAAGATTATTTCGTCGTCAAATATATTAGGTAAGATATTACAAAGTGGTCTACTTAGGCCTGAATAGGCCTACGAATTGTGGTTACTCGAAAAATTGTGATTTTCATAATCTATAGACCTGCCTTAATTGTATTTTCCCTATATAATATCAGTTTCGACAACCCTGACGAGCTCGTACTCAGTAGTCTTTTTTTTTAAGCATTCCTTTGTCATGCCGAGACCCCTCTTAAAAAGGAAATTATAGGCCAGTTTCGTGATAAATTAAACAGAAGCAGAATTATTTCATGAGAAAATACTTCAAACATATAGAAATGCAACGTTTGGCTTATAGTTAGATGGTGGACATACGAAGCGAAGAACAAAGAAATCGTGTTTTCTTCTTACTATTTTTCTCTCTCCTTCTTTTCCTTTTTCTTCTTACTATTTTTTCTCTCTCCTTCTTCTTCTTCTTCTTCTTTTTCTTCTTCTTCTTCTTCTTCTTCTTCTTCTTCTTCTTCTTCTTCTTCTTCTTCTTCTTCTTCTTCTTCTTACTATTTTTTTCTCTCTCCTTCTTCTTCTTCTTTTTCTTCTTCTTTTTCTTCTTCTTCTTCTTCTTCTTCTTTTTCTTCTTCTTCTTCTTCTTCTTCTTCTTCTTCTTCTTCTTCTTCTTCTTCTTCTTCTTCTTCTTCTTCTTCTTCTTCTTCTTCTTCTTCTTCTTCTTCTTCTTCTTCTTCTTCTTTTTCTTCTTCTTCTTACTATTTTTTCTCTCTCCTTCTTCAGCGTACTACTTTATTCAAATCCTAATCCAAAATATCTTGAGGAATAGCTCAGTGAACAGCTGTCTACGTGTGTCGATTGGATGACTAATAATAAGCTATTTTTTTTTACACTTGAGGCAAACAGAAAGCATTTTGTTTTGTTCTAAACGTACTATTCTAAAAAAAGTATTTTGAATTCAAAGTGCATGACACACAATAATCAAGTAATCAAGAGAAAGGAATCTGTGAACTATAGTTAGGCATTGAGTAGGCTAGCGCAATTTCATTTTCATCTTTAGTAGAATCAGTTTTAAAAAAAAAGCGAATCCTCGTCAGAAATTTGTGTACAGATCGATATCAATGTTACATGGATTTAAAAGCAAGACGCAGTGGCGGATCCACGAAGTTGAAAATTATACCGAACAAATTGGTGAGATTCATCGACTGATCTGGTCCAAGAATTAACTCATGTTGGCTACAGCGAACTTTCTCAAGCTGGTTTCAGGGGGGGGGGGGGGGGGTAAGGTTTAGGTCAGCTATTGTTATTTTCTTTTTTTTAAATACATTTTAACAAAAAATATATATTTTTTTGTTTGGGCCGGGGGGGGCACGTCCCTGTTTTTCAGTGCAGTTTTGGCGAATTTAGGGCTGATTTTAACATATTTTTTTGGGCCGGGGGGAGGGGCACGTGCCCCCTGTGCCCCGCCCCCCCCCCCCCCCCTGGATCCGTCCCTGAGTTTTCTTGAAGTCAGCCAAAGATCAAAACAACTCATATTGCGTCACGTACATAATATATCATACTTGGTCGAATCACCATTTTCGATCCAACTGCGATCTTTACTGACTCACATGATTAGAATCCAAGAAATATCTGATTCAACTTCAGCGTACCAGAAATAGTAGGTAGTATTGGGAATTCGTTTTATTACTTTGCCATAAAACATTGGAATGCCCTTCCTAATGATATAAAGGAAATAAAAAACTTTGCTCATTTTAAGAGGAAATTAAAGGAAAACCTAAAACTGGAGAGTCAGAGGAGAGAAGCGATTGACAGTTGATTGAAATAGCCTGACAGAATGTTATTCTTCTGCCGGTTCATATTTTTTAATTATGTATATATATGTTTGTACTTTATAGAAATTCTAACATTTTCATATGATTTCTTCTCACTCCTCCTCATCTCTTTTTTTTTTATTGTAGGCCTACTTATTATCATTCCTATCATCAGCTTTAATGTTATTATTATTATCATCATTATTATCTTTAATAAGTTTGTTTTTCTTATCTGTCTGTAAATATTACTATTTTAACTTAATAATTGTGTACATGTATGTCGGGACCCCCCCCCCCGGGGGGGGGGGGGGGGGGTACTCACATATTAAGACGTACGGGGTGTACCGCTCTCGGGTCACTTTTTCACACAAAAAACCTAAAGTTACATGGGTCCCATTTTTAACAAAAATACCATTAAAAATGGATCCGTTTTTTTTCAAAATATCAAATATGTCATTCTTTCGGGTGTTTGCATCCCGAAAAATGGGTAGGAGTTTCGAGGCTTGCATGAGCGACACACCCCGTCACATCTGAGCAGGCGCGTACGCAGGGGGGAGGGGGGGGGGGTGGTGGTGGTCCTGTTTAAGCCGACTTAATTTTGATCTGTTATTCTTGTAATCGGAAGCTTGGCGAATAAAAATCAATCAATCAATCAATATTCTCCTTATTATTATTATTAATTCTTTTCTCTCCTTTTTCTTTCTCTTCTTCCAAGTTCTTATCATCATTATTATTATTATTATTTTTACATTTTCTCTCTCCTTCTTCTTTTTCTTCTTCTTTCGAATTATTATCACGTCGTATGCCTACCTTCCCCTTGCTCCAGATTACCAAAATATTTGAAGATACGAAAATTTGTCTCATAAAAGACACCACAGTCTTTGAAAATTGATATCCCACAATGCATTTCGAATGAGTCTTCCTCTTAACTTAGGCTCTCCGTGAGTAGGTACGAATGAAAAATATAGCCATGTAAAATCTATGTAAATCACGAGAAATCTGAGAAGTATACACGTAATTAAAAAGTATTATCGAATTTAAGTATATTTTACACCATTGTAGCGTTGTTTTCTACATAACAGTTGTATTTAAATAGATATTACGACCGTCCGAATTTCATGGGTCCGACGTCTCGTCTAGATTGATGCAAGTGAATGTGTGTATGCGTGAATGGGAAATAGTGTTGTGTTGTTTTTAGGCCGTGGCATGATGATGGATCTACGATGTTTATGACTCGATTATATATTATGAAAGATCATCCTTCCCAGTTTTTGATGTGTTTGTGACGACACGTCTAATGGTACAAATGTTGAAGAAGTTGGGAATATCTTTCATCCCTCTTCACCGTACAAACTTCAAGTTCAAACCAAACATGCCAGGCTGCGTAGGCCTACCGGTCAGTTGAGCTGCGCTTTGCCCTTGCCGAGTCGGCTGGCCAGCGCCGGAGACGTGTCGTGTTGTGGACCGTGGCCGTGGGCGCTAGTTCAAAATCATATCCAGACTTTGACCCATAACTCTTGCGCGCGTGGAGATAGTTCTACCCTCCTCAAATATATCAAAAATCAACTTAATCTTCATCAATTGTTCAAATATTAATGGTCATGATGATGATTTAAAAGTTGTCATGTTTCGTGTCAATTTTCTTATCTTTTTTGTATTATTTTTCCTAAACGGGGAAGACAAATTTTCTCACAGGTTTAATGGCAAACCGCTGCGCAATACAATTGCATAGATCTACCGTATCATACCGACGGTGAGGTACTATGGGTGCGCGCGCGTACGTGAAGTTAGCTACTGTAATCTCGGATCCTCGATACATTCATGATGCAGGGTAACGCGCCCAGTATTCGGTCAGTAACAAACTCAACCGAATACTGGACGAGAGGCTCCTCATGGCAAGGGTAATGTAAAAATAGACCTAGAATCTACCTCTTGCACTTCGGTTGGAGCATCATTTGTAAAGGAGGAAAGTATTACAAAAGTAAATGTGGAATGAGCAATCATGACATGAAAATTAGGTACAAAATGACAAGTTAATTAGCTTGCGAAAACATGGAAATTTCTCTGCCGAGCATCCCAACCAGGCCTTTGCGTTTGGTTTGGAGGTGCTATGTTCAGTTCTGCTACAGCGCACTTGCAATAGCTCCGTATGTATTGCAACGTCCTTTTCTGAAATGGCGGAAACGGAATTCTGCCATATTGCATGTCGGGCTCTCGATGCTATTAAAAGCTGCCATGTTTTTGATCGACAAGCGCAAACGCCTACTCCCCTTTGACTTTGTACATGCATTGTCAAAATTTCTGAAATGAAAATTGATTTTGCCATGGCAAATCTTTATTTCTGTTCAGGATTTTCCTTAAATTGGTAATAAAATGTAATTCTATGATTTTAATAAGAGATGAAAATAATTCTGGAATAAAGAGTTTTAACAAAATTGATATTGTCTTAAAGTGGGCCCCCCCCCCCCCTTTTACCCTCATACTTTTGTGTTCTTAAAATCTGTTTTCTGAAGTTTGCAATAATAATCACCGATATGCCATTTTGTTATTTTGTCTTTCCTGTAGACGCAACCATGGGGAAGTTCATGAAGTCGGGCCGTGTGGTCCTTGTCCTTTCAGGACGATACGCTGGACGCAAGGCAGTAATTGTCAAGGTAATTTCTCTAAAAACACATAAAGAATAACACTACATACAAACTTAAGAACCTTATTTCCTAGTTTTTCACCCTTTACAATGTTGAAGATGTATTTTGTCTCACAAGATATTTTTGCTTGACCAACGTTTTTGTGGGGTCAGTGATGAAAAGAGATGTGTTTGTTTAATTAATGATGACAAAAGTTTATGATTGTACGACCGCATGCTGTGCCGACGATTGCTCCTATTTCCACATTTGTCTTATTTCTAAATGTATATGTGAAACCAACTATTCCTAACCCTAAGCATGACCTGAAATCGAATCACACCGCTAAAGGCCTATTCAGATATATGACGCAGGAAATTTTTTATAATGAAGTAAACTAAAGTGTAATACGATTCACACCTCTGTATCTTTATAGCATAGAGTTCAGTGAATATGCGCAAGTCTTTTGGGGGGGCGCAGTTGCCACTTATTTACACTTTAAAAAAAAAAACAGCGTTGTCTCTTTGCTGGTATCTGAATAAGTCTTAACCCTGAATTTTTGTTTGTGTTTTGACAAAATATAAACCCTGGAGTGAATGTCCGATCACAAAGTGTCTTGACCATTTCTAATCGAACCATGTTATTTTCCCCCTCCCTCAGAATCACGATGATGGGAGCTCTGACCGTCCATACAGCCATGCCCTTGTGGCCGGCATTGACCGTTACCCACGCAAGGTGACCAAGGACATGAGCAAGAAGAAGATCAAGAGGCGATCCAGGATCAAGACCTTCGTCAAGCTCTTCAACTACAACCATCTCATGCCAACCAGGTTAGTTACCCTTCAGTAGCACCATTACCCCCAAAACAAAAACAAAAAACTACCTACTTGTACATTGACTATAGGTCCTAATATGAAAATATTGGCATGAGGAAGGGACATTTCTGCATTGGAAGTGTATCACGCCTGGTTGTAAGTTTCAATTTAATGAATTCCTTTTTTTTTGCCATCATGGTTCCTTTTTTTGGTTGCACAAGGTTGCAGCTCTGCCATTATGTTGTCAACTGAGTTTTTATTTTTTGTCGGGTCTCTTCTTAATGTTGCAGAACATTATCTTCTTTTAGTTAATGTTCAGTTCTGCACAAGCATGTTCTTTCTGGTGTATAACACTCTCTGTGGTACCATTACCAAGCAAAGAGGACTAGAGAGAGAAATTGTGGGCGAGGGGTGGGGGATCCCCCTGTCAAGGGTAGTAGTAGGGTACCATGATTCTGATGATTTGTGCATGCGTTGGTCCTCTCAACCTCCCCCTTGGATGCCTACTAGACCATACTAGCTGTGGACCAAGGATAAACAAATTCCTGCCTTGAATGAGTGTGGTGAGCAGTGAAAATGTGGAAAGCTGCTCTAAGAAACAGAGCTGTGTTCAAGAATTCCATTGGTTGCAAATAAATTGATATTAAAATGATAAAACCTTGAGATGAGAGAATCTGATTTTTCACTTAAGCAAATCCTGAAGAGCTATGAACAAAACATAATAATGTTCAAGCTGACACTAAACAGGGCTGTTGGAGACCAGACAGTTTTTTTGTTATGTTTTCGGGTTGTCCATCCGTTATCGCGTTGATCGCGTTATCTCAAGAACAGATTGATGGGATTGCCGCCAATCTTGGCCATGTATGTATCTTGCAGAGCCAATGAACTTAGTAGATTTTGGGGTCACGAGGTCGAAAGTCAAAGGTCATGGTGCTCATATTTGCAAAAATAGCTTGTGATCGCGTTATCATTAGAACTGATCGATGGATTACCATCAAAGTTAGAACATGCATGTATCTTGCAAAGCCAATGAACTGATTACAATTTAGGATCATACATTTAATTGAAAAACAGCTTATAATCATGATATTCTGAGAACCTGTAAATGGATTACAATCAAACTTGAATTTTAAAAATTGCCTCCGTTCTGGTTTGTAAAATTGTCTATGGCGGAGGCATCATTTTCATAGTCCATCTAGTATTCCATCTATATTAAAATACACATTTGCTAGATAGTGTGATTTACAGACATAAGGATGACTTTCTTTGACTGATATTATTCATGAGGAATATTTGAAATACCTCTAAGAAGTTCTGAATGTCTGATTGCATTTATGTTGGCAGTACAAAGTTATTAAAGATGCTAGTTGACAAATGTTTTTTTCAATAGAAATATCCATATATACAGTCGCTATTTATACAGTTAGTTTTTTAATTGATATTCATATGAGACCAGAGTTTTATTTGTAATATCGCTCTATGGTGGAGGCATCATTTTCAAATGCGCAGTATATAATCCATCTATTTTTTTTTTTTTTAACAGTACGTTAGAACTGCAAGCTGAGTTTTTTTTGTAATGGTTTTGAAGTATTTAACATTAGTTTATTATTTTAATTGCAGGTACTCCGTTGATGTGAACATTGACAAGCAAGTGGTCAACAAGGAATCATTCAAGGACCCTACCCTCAAGCGTAAAGCCAAGAGGGAAATCAAGGGAAAGTTTGTCGAGAGGTAAGCATTGTTGTCTTTCTTTATAATTAGGTCGGTCAGTAGTGTAATACCACTGGTAGACCATGGAGACCGACCCACAAAATTAACAAAACTTACATTACAGTGAAGAATAAGTCAATCAGACTTGGTTTGCAGCGTAACTTGAAGTGTAAAGAAAGTGTTTTTTGTTTTTTTTGTGCTGTCAAGCTTAGTTGTATATTGAAATCATATTTCATTTTGTTTTTTTAATTTTCATTGAATAAATGTAAAATTCCAAAGAACTGAAGGCCAGTTATCGAACTTTGTATATGATGCTACTGTATGGTTAAGCATGAATAGATGTGATAACATCTTGTATTGAAAGAGGTTGCATTCAGAAAAAACTGATTCATTGTGTGATTTATTTAGATCTGGCAGATACCGGCGCTATATAAATATCCATATTATTATTATTATTATTATTACTAGTAATTAAGGCTGCGACGGGTAGTCGAATGCTCGAGTACCCGCACGGTTGACAACTACTCGGGTACGATTTCTTGTACCCGAATATTCGGCCGCAAAAAAAAAAAAATGTCCAGGCCCACGCTTACCCGTGCCAGGGAGAGCAGCATCCGCTGGCATGGTACCGTCGGTAAAAATGTTTCCAAACTCAAGCACTGTCAAACTCACCTTTCAGAAACTGGGACCAAATGTCCAGATTTCTGTTTGGACTTGGAGGAAAATGGATTATTCTGCCATCTTTGGTTTTTAAAACAGCATTGTTTACTGTTATTATTCTTATTAAATCGGCGCCTTCAACTGCAACTCAAAGTAAAGTTGCATGCGTTTTCAGCGAGCTGCGCGAGGGACCTGAGAAACTGCCGAGTGGTATGGTAGTGGCAAAAAATGAAAAAAAAGGGAAAAAATCCAAAAATCCAAAAATTAAAAAAAAATCAAAAAAATTCAAAAAAATTCAAAAAAATTCAAAAAAATTCAAAAAAAATTATAAAAAACATGGCGTCCGAATACTCGAGTATTCTCCTGTGAGCCTGGGAGTGTACTCGGGTACCTCATTACACTGTTGTGCACAGCCCTACTAGTAATCCAGGTTGGCCCATTTTCTTATGTGTCTCTATCCTGTGCAAATGAAATGTGCATTTTCCTGTATGAATTATTAACACACATTTTCTTTTCTTTCTTTTTTTCCATATTTCTTTCTTTCAAGGTACAAGACTGGCAAGAACAAGTGGTTCTTCCAGAAGCTGCGATTCTGAAGAAACAATGGACTCCCAACATCCCCACTCATGCTGTACATTATATGGACTGCTCACATATTTCCACACATTCGTCAATAGGCCTGCGATTAAAAAATGAAATCTGGCAATGATGCCAAACCCAAGATCGTGTCTCTGAAGGAGTTTGATTTCAGTGTGGTCCTAGAAAGAAAGAAACCATGTTGGAGATATGGATGTGTGATGAAAAGTGCTGGATGGTGTAAAATCTTGGACTTCCACGATTGGTCCAAATATGCAATAGGTCGAGGCAATGATATGATTAAGATCATGCAGAGATAATTTGGCAATTGTGGAACTTGAGTGGAAGTCCTGATTTTACACTTGATGTGTATGAGGGAACGAGTCGTTGCATAAATAATGGTTAACACTGTACAACAATAGGAAATATGTCCAGTAACGTGAGATGGAACGGTGCTATCATCCTCCAGCCCTGTATTGCAAAGTCATAATTCCAATGCCCCCTCCCCCCTTCTGAAATATCCCTGCCCTTGTCTCTCTACACTCACACCACAGTGTGAATCTTGGCCATGTTTCATGAAACTTGTCAAACTAATGCCATAGATTTATGATAAATCTGCTTAAGGCCAGTCAAATGTGACGATTTCAACAATCATTGTATTTTGTTTTACAGAATAAGACACTTGTACAAATAAATTTGGAGAATATGAGAGATGTGAGGATGATGATGTTGAGAGGGAAGTCCAGCCTGATGCATACATGCCAACTGTTCAGATTAAAGAGGAACATTCCTCTTTTTGGGAGAAGATAATTATCATTTTAATGCAGGTGTTCCTCTTCCTGTACAAATTTGTCTGTAGTATTGAATAGGAGAGTTAGGATTGTTCCTCTTTTTTTTTTAAATAGCATAATTTGTACAGATTTCTGATTTTCAAATGTTGGCATGTATGCTGATGTTCGTTGGTTTTAATGAAAGCATAAACATGTGAGGGAATGGATCAGTGATTTACCAAGATAGAGCAAATAGATTTAAAAATAAATTGAGTTTTTAAGTCATCATCAACCCAAATTTGCAACTTTGTCAATAAATAATACTAAATGATACAAAACAAAACCCATGTACAAGTCAAATTCTGTTTGCACAAATTTTGATTAATCTTTTAATATTTCTTATCATTGACATTTGACAGACATGATTTCTTCACAATAACAATCAACAATATCTTTTTTTTTTATGAACTTAACAAATGTTCAGCTTTTTAGCATGAATGTTCCATCTTACATGTCAGATAGGAATGGTCAATATATCCAGAACTCTTTCTCTGAGCAAACCTATAAATAAAAGACCTGTCAAGGATGATGATCTTTATAGGTAGATTCTATATACATGTGTATTTTAAACATTACAACTTGGCAAAATTTGTGGAGGCCTAAAATATGGATTTTGGGGTACACATTTTAGTAGAATAAATCATAAGCCCCCGTTTCAAAAATCTCAGACAGGATAACAGGATATTCAGTTACAAGGGCCCCATATTCGAAGGTTTGTGATCAATTGCAAATATAAAACGACAATTGAGATTGATTAGTAATGGTCAGCCTTTTTAACAATATGTGCATGCAACAATGATCTCGATAAGCCAGGGCCATTTTGCAATTGAATACAAAACCTTTGTGTCACAAGGCCCTATGTATTCCGTCTATTAGAAATATGCATTGTTATATGCCACTACATTTTACAAATCTATTTAATGTTGCAGCGCATCATAGGAAGCAAAAGAAGAATTTAAAAAGAGGAAAATTGCACTTACAGTAAAATTCAAAAATGAAGCTATTAATAATTGGCTCATATAACTCCATGATTTATACATGTCCATCTTGTTGTTCCTATGCTTTACAGAGTAATCCTCTGAACAGCAAAAATAATAATATTCAATATTCATAGAGCGCACATATCCACCACACAAGGTGGTAAAGTCCCTCCAATACTACGCAGGCTCTGCCTGCTAGGGTAATTTTCAGTGCTCACAGCATTCAAGG